GATATAGATCAATTTTGAAATGTTAAATCAATTTTTTATCATCTTAGGAACAACCTCACTTGATCATAATAAATTGATATACATATGTATGTATGTGGGCTGGGGATATAGCTCAGTAGCACAGCACCTGCCTGGCAAGTGCAAGGTCCTGAGTTCGATTCCTGTTACCAAAAAAAGAAAAATAAAAGAAGAATTACATGTGTATGTGTGTATGTGTGCGTTTATATGTATATATATGTTTTACGGATAACTGTGTATGTATGTATATGCACACACATATATACTGTATATTCCTCAATATCTGTAGAATTTTTAGTGCTACCACCTCTTCTATTTATCATATTGGTGATTTATATCTTCTTCAATGTTTTCCTGCCCAGTGTAACTAGAGATTTATCAATTTTATTTATCTCAAAGAACCAGTGTTTGGCTTCATTGATTTTTATTATTTTTCCTGTTTTCTGTGTCATTCATTTCTATGATACCCATTATGATTTCCTTCTGCTTATGGTGAGTTTAATTTATTCATCTTTTTCTTATTTATTTAGCTAGAAATTGATTTCATTAACTTGATCTTTTTTAATATAGGCAGTTAGTGTTATTAATTTTCTTCTAAATTCCTTGTGGTATTCCATATATTTTGACGTCTTTATTCAGTTGAAAATACTTTTCAGATCATGTTTTGATTTCTTCTTTGGATCCTAAACTATTTACAAATATATTATTACATTTTCCAAATATTTGAAGGGTTTTTTAGAGAACATTAATTTCTAATTTATTATTGGTTTCTAATTTAATTACATGGTGGTCAATGAATATATTTTATATGACTTAGATCCTTTTTAATTTATTGGCCCAGAATAGGTATATCTAGGTAAATACTCTATCTGAATAGAATATACATTTGGCCCCTGTTGACTGTTGTATAAATATCAATTAAGACAAGTTGGTTGATAATGTTCTTAGAGTTATTTATAGCTTTCTTATTTTCTGTCTGTTTGGTTAATCGATTACTGAGAGAGCAGTACTGAAATCACTGGCTATAATTGTACTGTCTATGTTTCCTTGTAGTTCTATCCATTTGGGCTTCGTATTCAGAGCTCTATCATTCAGTGTGCAAACATTTAGAAATGTATCTGCCTTTGGAATTGTCCCCTTAACATTATAAAGCAATCTTCTTTACTGCTCGTAATATTTTGCTCTGAAATCTACTATGTCTGAGGTTAATATATCTACTCCGGTTTTCTTTTGACTAATGTTTGTATTTTTTCTTTTCATACTGTACGTTTAACCCATTTGTGTCTTTATATTTAAAGTGCATTTGTCATAAGCCACATATACTTGGGCCTAGTTTTTCTATTCCATGTGCTGTTCTCTGCCTTTTAAGTGGGGTGTTTAGACCATTTTCATGTAGTACAATTACTCATGTGGTTAAATTTGGATCTGTTATCTTGCTATTTATTTTCTATTTGTCCTACCTATTGTTTTCATATTTTTTTGCACTATATTGGATTAAATGATTTATTTTATTATTCTATTTTGTTGCTTTTGTTGGTTTATTAACTGTAGCAGTAATTGCTTAGATTTTATAGTATACGTTTTTAACTTACTATAATCTATCCTCAGATGACATATTACTTCATGATACTATAAATATCTTATAGTATTATATTTATGCTATTGTTGTCTTACATTTTATTTATGCACATGTTATAGACTCCACAATATTAGTTTATCCAGTTAATTATATCTGAAAGAGGTTTAGTATATGTGCTGCTGAAGCAAGCACTTGAAGAGGTTTAAATAATAAGAAAAATATTACATAAATACCTGTATAGTTGCTAGTGCTTATTCTCATCATTCCTTTGTGTAGATCCATATTTCCATCTGGTGTCATTTTTCTTCTGCCTGAGGGACTTCCTTTAGCATTTCTTGTAGTGCAGATCTGCTTATAATTAATTCTTTCAGCTGTTTTCTATGTCCACAAACATCTATTCCATTTTCTGTGGAACATACTTGTCTCTGACCATATAATTCTAGGCAGGCATGTTGGTTTTTATTCCTTTCAGTGTCCCATGATGCCGCGCCACTGCCCTCTGACAGGAGATGTGCTTGATCCTTCTCTTTCTACGTAACACCTCTTTTCCCGCTGTGAGTTTTCGTATTTTCTCTTTAATGCTGCTTTGGGGCAGTTTAATTGCTATGTGCCTTCTAATTTTCTTCATGTTTCTTGTGCTTGGGATTTCTTGAAATTTCTTAACAGATGAATTAACAGTTTTCATGAAGTTAGGAAAGTTTTTAGACATTATTTCTTCTGACATTTTCCCTGTCTTCTCTTCTGACTTTTGAGAACTCCAGCCGCACATATCATAATGACCACTTAAAGTTGTCCCACAGCTCACCTACCAATGTTCTTTTTCATTTTTTCTCTATATAGCTCTCATTTTGAATCTTCAGATTCTCTTATCTTTTCTTCTCTTTCTTTGGCGAGGTCTAATCTGCTGTTAATCTAATCCAGGGTATTTTTCCTCTCAGTCATTGCAGTTTTCATCTCCCAAAGTTTGATGCAGGACTTTGAAAACTATCTTCCATGTCTCTACTTGAATTTTAAAGTATATTAATTAACGTTATGATAAATTTAAATATTGATCTTTATATTCTCTGCTAATTCTAACATCTGTGTGATAGATTAAGCACAATTGTTTGATTTGTTTTCTCATTATGAATTTTATTATCTCAATTCTTCGCGTGTCTCGCACATTTGGCTGTATACCAGGAATTTTGAATTTTACCTCCTTGGGATCTGGATGTTTTTATAGTCCTATAAATATTTTTGAGTTTTGTTCTGGGATACTGATAAGTTACTTTGAAATGCGTTCATCTCTGCTAAGCAGAACCAGTGCGGCATTGAGTCTAGTGCTAATTATTTCCCACTACTGAGACAAGACCTTCCTGAAGCATCTTCAAATGCCTGGAAATTGTGAGTTTTTCTAGGCTGGCCGGTGAAAACAAGCACTGCTCCTAGCTCTGTGTGAGCAGTGGCCCAGTCCCGTCCAGTGTGCATGGATAGTCTCTTTCCACACTCCGGCAGTTCGCTCACACACGTGCGCTAACCAGTGCCCTGCAAGTTGTCGTGGCGGGACCGTCCACAGCTGCTGAGGGTGGCCTGTGGGCGGCTTTCTCCTGTTTGCTGCTCTGTCCTGGACACACTGACTGCCTTGATCCCTAGACTCTCAGTTTCAGCCCCCTCTTGGAGAGTCCAGCCGGTTCGCCTCAGCTCCCCGTCTCTGCAATGGCCAGGAAACTCCCAAGGCAGCAGGCTGGCAATGGCAGCGCGCACCTCATTTGCTTCTCCTTTCCCGAGGATCAGCGTCCTTTGCTACTGATGTTCAGTGCCTTGAAAACTATCGCTTTAGATAATCTGCTGAGTTTCTATTTTTGTTTTTGTTTTTGTTTTTGTTCCAAGCAGAAGAGTAAATGAAGTACTTGCTACTCCATCTTTGCTAGAAGCAGAATTTTCCAAAGCATTTTAATTGTCTTCAGATGTAGCTAGCTACACATTCTATTCAGAGAACAACCTTCCTGAATGTGTTGTGTATACCAGGCATGGTAACAGATATATTCACATGCAATTCATTCACATAGCCATTGTGTGCTTTAGGCATTGGCAATGCATCACTGTACAAAATAAATTTTTTAAATGTCTAAACCCTATGGTGCTTATAAGCTCTCAGGACCTGTGAACACTGAGGTACCCACTTTGGGGAAGCCTTCCCTGCTGCTGAGTCTGTCTGCTCACATAACACACGGGCCACAGCACTGGAATTACGGGTGTACATGGCTGTGTGCCTTGCCAGGCTGCCCCTGGGTAGGCTGGGCCTACGGCACAGAAAGAGCCTGATCCCTGGTAAGTAGGTGCTCAGTAAGCATTATTTACACAAGTGAGTGGCCAGCACACACTCAGCCTGTGCAGGTGTTCTTGTGATGACGTGTTTAATCTTTTCTACCTTAAATTCACCAGCGCTGGTGTATATTAATGTACACAGAAAGAACTTTGGAGTTGACTAGACTAACACATTTTTTATATTCAAACACATGACTTTTCATGCAGCAGAGATGTAGAAGAAATAAAGAACCCACCAAAAATAAGCGAATATAACTGGATATGGTAGATGTGATCACTAGGTTTATCGCTAAAGAATCAAAATAGGAAACAGTAATGGAATTTTACTTTAAAAATAGTACTGCAAATCACAGTTTTAATATGGTAGAAAAAACCATTGAGGTACTGTAATATGGTACACTGCTCATCATGGTTATCAATTGAGTGGTGCAGACTACTGGTTGGCTTTATAAACACAACCAGAATTTTCAAATGCATGTTATTCATTATTATTATTAATGTGAAGTTTAAAAACTGATTCTCCTCTGGTGACTAAGTGTCAGGATGGGGGAATTTTAAAGTATGCCTGAGAACACCAAGTGACAAGTGGCTGTTTTCCGTCCCAGCTGGCCAGCTTGCATGTTTCATCAATAAAAAATGTACCTGGTGCTCGCTCCGGCAGCACATACGCTAAAAACGTGCCTGACACGACGTGCAGGTAGACACACACTAAGCTCCATTTTGCTTATTTTATAAATTTATATTCCAGTCAGATAGAAAAGACTTTGATTTCAGTGACCTCAATAATGTTAAGGGTCTAGAATCGTTCCAATGACCGTAGCAAAGATATTTCTCTCTAGCTTGTCTACAAAAAAACTATAAAAAGTAGCAAAAGCTAAACTATTGTATTTAAGTAGAGCTTTCTTCCCTCTCTAGATCTGAAGTCTAAATAAAATATAGAAGACACTTACATCCTAGTTTTCTATTATATCCTTTTGGAAATAATTTGTATATACCTTTTAAATAATTTCAAGTGCCACAAAAATGTTAATAGCTCAAAATCAAAAGTTAAGAAAAAAAGCCTAAGTATAATTTTTAAAATCTTTTTCTCCTCAAGCGTTTTACGATGGGATAATGAGACAGATGTCTCTCAACTGGAAGGACATTTTGACATTGTTATGTGTGCTGACTGGTAAGTACATAAAATATCATAAAACTCCTGGTAGAAAAAAATGGCTTTGCTGGAGTAATTGGGCTGTGCTGCTTTGCTGACGGCTAAGCCGAGTCAACAAATGAAGCACAAAGCCACCTTAACCTCAACAAATTAATATTCATCTCCATGTGACAGTTATAAGGTAGTCTTCTATCACACAGTAACTTCTACCACATTATTTCCCAAAGATTGATTTTGAGAAGCATTTCCATTTTCTGGAATTGCCTCTGTTTCATGCTTGACGTATCAGTAAATGGACGACTTAGGCAAATTGCAAATAATTATGGCTCGGAGTGGAATAGTCTGGAGAAAAAGGAGTTTATCAACACAAACAGCTCAATTAGCTTACTTCTTAGGAGAGATCTGACTATTGATATAAGAGGATATATGTGTGTGTACATGTAAATATCCTCTCCAACAAATAAACATATCTGTGGAATAGCTTTGGGGAAATAGCCTGTCTTAAAATGTGTATGTGCTATCTAATATTTTCAGTGTATTCAATTATAATATTTAATTATACATAAGACAAAAGTGTAAAATTACATTTATTCTTATGCAAATAATAACATTCAAATCTGTGTCAGGTGTCTGCTTTTTTAAAATAATTTACATTAGACATTCTCTTTTAGCCCAGTCTACTTCTTTATTAATGAAAGCCTAATCCTAAGTTATAGGATAAATATGCATCAGACCCTAATAATTGTTTCAACTATTCTTATGCATTTTTTGTGATTTGAGTAATTGTTTCAACATATGGAAACTGTGGATAATTTACAAGTTTTATCGTGTTAACAGTAAAATCTTATTTGTGGCTTCATCATGATAATTATTATGTCACTGTAGATTTAAAAATACAAGTTTAGGTTCTGATGAAGTTTGAATATATTAATAGTCCCAGTCATAAGATACAGAATCCAGAGAAGACTTGTTCATAGAGGAGAGTAGAATGACATTTTTAGGAAGTAGGGTTTTTTTTTTTTTAGTTTTATTATTATTATTAGAACTTTTAATAGATCACTTTGCTACAAAAGTCAACAGGATTAGGTTTGCTTTAGTTTTTCTCTTTTGAAAAATACTTCTCAAGGAATAATACACATTTTATTGTATTTTAGCTGAGATTTTCTAGTTTTTCATGGCTCTTTTAGTTTTTTGCATGCCTCTTAATCTCTTTGCATCCAAAAATGGGAGCAACCTAGATTTCTACCTCATCACTGATAATATGCCTCAATTTCACACCCTTCATCTCATCAAAAATAAGGAGCTAAAGCTTCACCATATGATTTTAGCAAGTAATTTAGTAAATGCCTTTCCCCACCAAATATGAGAAAGGATCTTCCAGGTTTCATTGCACAGATGAAGATAATGCTGGCAGGATTAGATCAGATTAAGCAAGGAAGTCAGATCAGAGAGCAGCAGCAAGAAGGAAGGGGCAGCGCCTTCTAGAAGGTTTAGCTGAGGGTCACGCCCCGATGGGCTGTGATGATGTGAGGAAAGGCAGGTCTGGCCAGGAGATTTACAGCTGAATTTGCCCTTCACACACATATCAGAACAGCCTGGCTCTGTCGTACGTGCTCTTGTGGACACTCACACCATGTCATCCTATTTGTAGCAGAGAGACAAGCAGAGGAAGTAAGATTTAAGCTCTTCTCTGATTAATGTTCTCAGGTTAAAAATAGCCACACAACATGTTGGAAAAATAGTCTCTTTTCCCTAGCTGACAGCAGGGTCACATACTCAGTTTAAGGTTTGCATTACAAATACATAACATGATGCACTATTGTACATGTACACACATACACATATGGTAGCTGTGTGAGAATGTATGGATCCAAATGAACTAAATATACCAAGCTTCATTTTATAAATGGCTTTTCTATGCATGCATTGTGGTTAAGTTTTTTTTTTTCTCCTGGTGTTATAAGTGCCAGAATGTCAGCCTGTTTGTAATTTCCCATTTGTAAATATGAAACATTAAGCTGCTCTCACTGTGATGCTGATATTATTTTGGAGAGAAATGCTTTGATAATGGTCTCTCTTCATATTCTGAGAGATTGGTGAGCTGCATAGGAACTTAGAAAGTACAGTGATGTTTATCAAGGAAGCACAGGATTCCAAGACTCCTTTATGTCCTGTAGATTTGGTGTTTCTCAGTAGGGGTTACTGTATATTGCCTGGATCCTACTTCTAGCGGCAGGCAGGCCATTTTGGAAAGTCACAGAACAGAGAAGGAAAGCTCCATTTAGATGCTACTTTCAAGATGAAACCTGAAATACTCAGTGCTAGAAAGAGGTACCACACACAAATAGACCACAGTAAGTCTCACACTGTCCTGTAGTCATTGTCAGTCAGTGACATCTGGATTAGGCTCGGGAATATGCAGCAAGAGTCAGAGTTCAAATATTAGGTACATGGATTAAATTCGTACTGAAGCATTTCCAGCAAGGGTAGCCTTGTCTGATTCCCTGAATAGCTAACCAGTGGTACTGCTTGATCCCATTTACATGAAAACAAGCTTTATTCACAAACCTGTTCCAAACCCACATTGTGGTTCAAGTAAAATGCACATGATTACAACAAGTGGTGATATGTTTATGTTCTTAAATCATTCATATATTCACATATTTACATTCAAACATTCATAAACTTGTGGGCAGTAGGGGAAATAACTTATTTCCTAGAAGAGACAGTCTCTTCACTTTCAAATTTAGTAGTTCAGCTAGATTATAAAATGAAGAGGCAAACTGTGAAAGCTAGTCATTATTGCACCATTCAGCATTTTTGACAATGAAAAATAGTTTCATGGTTCAATAGTTCCTAAATAACTTGTAAGATGTCAACTTTGAAATAAACAGAGGGAAAAAATCAAGGTACAGTCACACCTGCAAAAGGACGCTGTTGACAAACATCAAAATATTAGAATATTTAACTGCAGGTGTGGGGGAAAAACCTGTCTATTAAGTTCCTCGGTTGGCTTCTTTAATGTTGAGTTTAATATAAGGATTCCTTTCTGCTGGAATGTGGTCCAGGCTGGTCCTTGCTGCATTTAGAATAGGGAGTGATTATTAATTTTTAAACTGCCTTTCCAGACTCCTATTCAATCATAATATAATCTAAGGGTCTAGAAGTTAGATTTTTTAAAACCAGTGAACACTTTTATTCAGTGTTGGACAGCTCTCCAGCTTGTTGTAGCTCTGCAAAAATAGAAATGATTCGTATGTTTGAATCCTCATAAAATCCTCTGTATGTTAGAAGGCATTCTGCAGTGCCACCCCACAGCCTGATCACCCATGAGGCGGGGTGTGAGGGACCATCAGCACGTGTGTGTGGCCACAGCCTGAGACTTTGGGAAGAAGCAGGAAAAGGGACATGGACCTGTCCACCCTACCTTGCTTGCTCTTTCAGTATCTTTGCACTGCCTGCATACTGTGGGCTGTTTCTTTCTTCCATCCTTTTTACTTTCTCCTAGATGATGAAAAAAGTTTAGTGTTTAAGTGGAAATACCATTGGTTCTAGAAGTTCTTTGTCTTCCAGAGGCTGCAATCATGGATAATTCTAAATCATAACTCCCAGCTCCTTACATCTGAAAAGATCTTTAGCCCAGATGTAGACAGCCCTTTCACCTCACAACTGGAGGGCTCCATCGCTGAGAAAACGTATGAATTTCCCAGGATCTTCCAACTAAAGGGGTAGAGCCAAGGGAGAGTGAAGTATGACATCACTCTGAGCTTCCCAAAAACTCAGTTAATATTGAAAGAAGCTCCTCCCTCTGCTTAAAGTTAAATCTAAAGCAGTGAGTTTAACTTAGCACATTTCACCAGGAATATTATGTGGGGGTTTTCCTTTCTGCAGATATGCACAGAGAGAAATGTCTCCTTATGCTCTGCACTAATAAATTTCCCTATGAGAGTAATTACAGATGCTCTGTGCTCTGCATACAATTCTGATTCTAAGGGAGGTGATGAAAATGGCCCAACACCTTTCCCTTGTCAGAAAACCTGTGATTCAGATCCATGGAACAAAGCGAGCATTTCTGCCACAGCAGTGACAGAGAGGGGCGTGTGTGTGTGTATGTGTGTGCATGTTAATGGGCACACTGGACTGTCAGCATATTTTGATCAGTAACTGAAGGGAGAGTTGAAATGGTATCTCCGTCCCCATCACTGACCCACTCAGCCTTTTTAAATAGATCCACTTAAGCTACTGCTGTTCTCTGAGCCATTAGGACTTATTTAAGGGGTGAATTTTCAGGAGATTATATATCACTCCCACTAAAACACACTGAAATTGCTCACATGACGTACCCCACAAAGCGTTATAAATTCTGTATCAGCGCTAAGTAGAAAAGTGAGCTTGCCTAGAATAAAGATCTATTAGAGAACTACTTTGATTTGGACGAATGGAATCGGTGCTGTTGCCTTTGCACTGAGCTTGGAATGTGTGTCGTGTGTGAAGCTGCACTTTCCAGTTCGCTGTGATGTTAACCTCTTTGTCACCATCACCTCCATTCAGGAGAAAGAGTGCTTTCCAGGGCGTGCTTTAAGCCTGGCTGGTAAGGTGCTGCTCGTCTTTTTCTAACAATCTGACTAGCTCTTAGGATGCGCAGATGTGAAAAGAGTGGTCCTTTGCTTAGCTCCTCTGCTTAGCTTCTGCGTATCCCAACCTGCCAGGTATCTTATAGGCTCGAATAATTGACAAAAGATATTTCCTTACGGTGAGAAATTTTTGTGGCACTAGGGGTTGAACGCTAGACCTTCACATGGAGCTTTTGAGGTAGGGTCCCCTAAGTTGCTAAGTTGCCCAGGCTGGGCTCAAATTTGTGATCCTCTTGCCTCAGCCTCCCAGAGTGCTAGGGTCACAGGCATGCATCAGTACATCTGGCTCAGTAATAGTCTTCTTTAAAAAAAGATGAAAAGTTTTAATTATTAAAACTAAAGATATTATTACCTCACTAAAAAATAACATATAGTGTCCCAAAGAGCAAACTTTTGAAAAGACTTAGTTACCCTTTAATTCCTTCCTCATCAGTCCTGAAGGGCATTAATCCCTGCTTTATGTGATGCAGCAACAAATTGTTAAGCATTTGCACTAAACATATTCTGTACTCTGAGAAATAAGGATGTAATTTTATCAAAGATGAGAAAATGTTCCTGGGTTGTGATTGCTGGGACGACGTGGGACAAGGTCCCCTCCCTGCTGCACGCGGTGTCTAGCTCCTCTGAAGGGTCCTCTTCGCACTGCATGGACACTTCTTCCACAAAAGAGCCTGCACGGCCATGTGCTGGCCAAGAAGTCCAAGCGCTGACTTCTTGGGCACTTCTCATAAACTGCTGTCCTCCTCATTCTCAAAGGAGAGACTTGTCAAAGCAGCAGAGAACCTGCCTGCTGCAACACCCTACCCAAACGCTGATTCACGCCCGGCGACACCGCTACAGGTGTGTCCGGCCTGTCTGAGGCTCATTGCAGTGCCCAGCCTCTATAAGCACCCTCCATTTCTGGGCTCTGACGAGCTGTCGTCTGTGGGCGGGTGGACATTAGCTTAGCATGGCCTGCATGAGCGCTGCTGCACCCAGACTTGGGAACTGTACGGGGAAGCTCTTGAGGAAGGGCCCTGAATATTCATACGTACCCTGATGTCTAAACCAATGCCATAGATGATCAACAGTATTTGTGAACTAATGTATGTGATTAATTTGATGCCCAGAATAGCCACATAGGTAGGCTTTTCTTGACAAGGATACCGAGGCCTTATGTGAAATGACTTGGCCAGGGTCACACAGCAGAAAGGTCAGCGCCAGAGCTCTCATAACCCTGAGCCACGCTTCCCCCATCTGAAGTGTGGTTCCACATAGTGGCTTCCTCTGAGGGAAGACAGCAGCCCTCCTGGCAGCAGCGTCCTCACTGTTAGCCACAGCAGGATGAGGCTGGGCCTGGAGCAGGTAGCGCTTATCATGCTGTCTGAGGAGGAGGGAGGCCAGATGAGAAGGGATGGACCTAGTGCAAGCAGAATGGAGTCGGGGCCTTGCTTAGGCCCCTCAGGAGCTGGCTCATGCGCAGACTTGCTGGGGGTTCCAGTTACAGGACAAGGGGCCCACCCACTGTAAGAGAGAAATCCAAGATGTGAATGGAAGGGTTTTTTCACATTCCATTCCAGAAAATATTTGGACATAAGTTCTGAGTTAAGATGCCTTTTGAAAAATGTCTCTGCTATCTGTGGTTTTTAAAAGATGTCTGCGTCAATTTTGACGCAGTAGAACAGTCCTCTTTATCTTTGCTTTGCAAACGCACAACTTAGAAGCAATGGGTCAGAAGCTGAAGGCTTGTGTCTTCCACTCCTCAGGCCATTTCTCTTTATCCTACTCCCTCCTCCCCAGCACTGGGGCTCTTCCTTGGCAGGAAGTCAGTCTTCTAGATTACGGTGGCCCTGCCAAATGCAGGGCCTGCATTGTTGAGTCTTCCAGAAGGGAGGAACTCTGTATCTCCCTGCCAAATGTTGTGAAAGAGGCAAAGAAACACGAGATGCTCCTTGCTTTGGAGACGTTGAGAGCCTGGGCAGGAGGGCACCTGTGGAACACAGGAAGCTGGGAGGGGAACCTCAGATGCTCTACTTGCAGTACTGAGCCCAGTAATGAAGAGGTCACTACGGATGCAGACACCCAGGGAGTGGCTCTCTAGCCAACCCTGCCTAACTCCAGCACTCTGATGATCCATTCTCTCACTTAACGCACCCTTGCCCCTCTTCCATGCACTGCTCCATGCTCAGGAATAAATGAATTGGATGGAGAGGTTGTGTGAAGCTATGGTCCAGAGCACAGACCCGAGGCCACATGGTGTAGGTGTGAATCCCAGCTCTACCAACTACTAGCTGTGTGACTCTGACCCTCTCTCTTTTTTTTTTTTTACTCTGACCCTCTCAATGCTGCAATTTCCTTAGCTATAAAATGTGGACAGAATCAACAACAATAGCAACTACCTGATGGGGACAGAATCAACAACAATAGCAACTATCATGACAACTCTTAGAAAGTAACCAGCACCTAATGTTCCGATTAGAACAGTTCTGATAAAAAGTTGTGTCTTCAGCATCTGTACTTGTCTGTGTGTACCAGTATCTGGCTCACCTCCCTCTTACACTGTAATCTTCATAATGACATGCACAGTGCTCTCTTCTCTCTTAACTCTCTACTGCATTTCAGTGCTACATATACAAATGGAATCCCATGATTTTGGCAGTCAGGCATCCTGGGTGTTCCAGGACTGTTCAGATTTCAAAGATTCAGCTACAAGTTCATGTTATCAGATCATGAATCCCAATGTGGAGTTCAGGAAAAACAAAATGAAACAAAACATAATCCCTCCCCCCCCAGTGGATGTCATTGGTAGATCCCAGCAGCTTTGCTTCCCCTGGGTGGAGCACTTCAGCCATGTTCAGGAGCCTTCGCCTGATGCTGAGAGCCTCATGGGGTGCTCCGCTCTGTGTGCCTTCTGTGCTGGATGCTTTCACCACACTGCAACAGAAGCCTTTCCTTGGCTTCAACAATTCCCCCAGGGGTCTTAGTCCATCTTGTGCTCTTAGAATATACTTAGAATATAAGTTAGAAGTGGCAGAAATGTATCGCTGGCAGTTCTGGAGTCTGAGAATTCCAAGGTCAGGGTGCTTGTAGCCTCAGTGTCTGGTGAGGGGGTGATCTCTCCTTCCAAGTTGGTACCTTGAATGTTGAATCTTCCAGAAGGGAGGAACTCTGTATGCTCACATGGCAGAAGGCAGAGGGGTAAAAAGTGACCAAATTTCCCACCTCCATACACTGTTGCATCAGGGACAAAGTTTCTGACACATGATTTGGGCAAGGCAGGGACACGTTCAAACCATCGCACTAGACATGGCTAAGTTAACCAACTTGCCACCTACTGCCAAGAAAACCAAACTCAAGTCTGGGGCCTGCAAGTTCAGATAGAGAAAACTGTTCCAAGCTTCCAGGATAAGTCCTGGTCAAGACAGGCTCAGACTGACCCAGCAAAGGGTGACAGCAACAGCAGAAATAGCTGGGGATGTAGCTCAATGGCTCAATGCCTGCCTTGCAAGCATGAGGCTGAGTTCGATTCCCAGTACCAAAAAAAAAAACGTAGAAATAGTCAAAAGACCAGAGGAGAAAAATGAAAACTCACGGAGAACTGGAAAAGGATAACATAGAGGTCAAAAGATCTCCATGATACCATGGTCGCTGGGACAGACTGGCTCAACTGTTTTGGGTTGTTCACTCCTAGGTTACTGGTGGAATATGAGCTTCACACTGTCCCTCGTCACCAACAGCCATTACCCCCCAATATCTGTTCTCTGGTTTGAGTGCCGCTTCCCTGCACCCTGGGTGAGCAGAGGGCCCAGGCCTATGGGAGACTAGGCTCAAACAAGGGGAGGTGCCCAGTGCTTCACTTCCTTCAGATGATACTCACAACCAGTAGTTTAGAAACTGTCCTTGAACCTTAATTAATACATGGCCCGGTTCCACGTGAATCCTGGTGGATGGCCTGTGGTCAGATAACACTGACCACAATATCTTCTTCTTAAAAATTTTATCCTCCAGTGAGACACTTGAATGGAAGGAAACACTTCTCTTTTTTAGTGTTGTGTAAATATATGCAATTAATCTTGCATTTATCACCATTATTAGTATCCTTAGATTTGAAACCCCACGTTAATCTGGCGTCTGCTCTCTTCCCAATGTCAGCCTGTTTCTGGACCAGTACAGAGCCAGCCTCGTTGATGCAATAAAGCGATTACTCCGGCCCACGGTGAGTATGTTTCTATTTTCTCCTGAACACTGGCTATAGAATAATTAGTCTGTGCGCCGAGATGGGGAGAGTAATGGAATGGCGGGATTAATGTCATGTAATACTTTAATACTTATTATGTCCAACTTCAATTGGGTCTTCTGATCTATCAGACTCTTTCCTAATCATAACTAGGAAACTTCTTACCCTTGGTCCTCTGATAAGGAACACAGTGGGTAGTAAAATAAATGAAACTGCTTCAAAGATAGCGTGAGATTATTTTTATCAAAGAATTTCTTGAGTCTTTTCCTTTGATAACCATATCTTCATATTAAAGTGGAAGTATGATATTGAAAGTTTTCTGTTGACTTCTGTCATTTTTAATCCCTTCAATGGTAACCTTTGTCACTGGGTATTTATTCATTGCAAAAGAATACTTTTTGCTTTTTATTTCTGTTTATAGTAACGAAAATGGACTTTCTGATGAATCTGTATATTAAAAGTTCTTTGCTTTCGAGGGAAGCCATTATTTACATATTATAAACATTAGGTCACAATGAAGCTAAGTATGGCATAAAATATTGTGCACATTCTTACATTTATATATCCATTTATGCCTGTGAGTAAATTACAGAGTTTGTATCCACTCTTATTTTGCTAGGCTGTTCTATTATGCTAGGAGGTCCTGCAGACTAAACGGAGAGTTAATATACATCTATTTAAAGCAAGAGAACGAGTTTAAAGCTCAGGCATTAAAAAAATCTTGTAAGTATGTAAGACTCTTGCTGTGCCTTAGGAATTTAAACTAGGTTAACAATATTAATATAATCTAAAATAAGAACTCACATTTATCTGAGTTGATAGCAACATGTGTATATATTTTCTAAAGTTTTGCTCCTACCGTCTTGTTTTAAAAGAGATTTTAGTCTTCTGACCTCAGTGAGACTTATAGACTAATACCTTTCAATCTCTCCTTTGTATCTTTTTCACATTGAAGGTTCCCAAAGCAATTTGATAATCATCCTTTGCCTTACACTGTGCTTTTTTTATTTTGTTATCTCTATGTAGCTCAGAAACTTTAAATAGGCTCTTGGAGGAGTAACCACAGCTTTGTAAGTGGCAATCAGTTCAATTAAATTGGCCTTCTCAATTCCCCCTGCAAAGTGGTAGGAGGTCTTGAGGCTATGGAAGAGCCTGTTCCAAGCTGCTGCTGGTTGCTGCCACAGCTGAGGTGGCCGCCGAAGTTGAGGGGAGAAGAAGAAATTCTGGGCCTCTCCATTCCCCCACTAGCTTTGGGTGATTCTTGTGAGCCCTCACAAAACCAAGATTTTCAGGAAGGGCAGTGAGATTCTTGAATGCAAAGGCCTCTGTGGAAATGTATCATCCGCAAATACAATGTGTTCAAGGACTCCTGGATCGCACACTGCGCAGACAGTACTTCGCTCATCCGGGACACCCCTGCAAAGCCTGTTTGTGACAAATACTCCATTTTGCAGCAGATTTGCATGATTTACCTAGGATCTATTGTGAATCATTCCTACGATTTACAATAGAAGACTGCCCACGCGAAATGCAGCTTGGACTGGACTCTCTCACAGCTCTGCTGTACCCTCTGTTAAACCCTGAGTCATGCTTCCCACCCCCATCTAAGTGTGGCTGCACACAGCAGCACCCCCTGAGCAGGACAGCAGCCCTCCTGCTGACAGCGATCTCACCTTTGGCCCAGAGGAGGAACACCCAGGCCCTGGAGCAGGTGCTGCCAACTCATGCTGTGTGAGGAACGGGCCAAGTCTGAGGGGCCCTGCATCCACCTGCAGGATTAGAAATGGGACAGCAGGCCCTGTGTAGGCCCCTCATGGAATGCCTGATACCCAAGGCCACCAGGTATCAGAAAGGAAGTCTGAGCTGTGACTGGCACACGGACTTGTTGAAATTACCACCCAGAAGCTCATCCCCGCTAGGAGGTCTGGAGAGGCAAGGCACCTGCGCTCCCCGGGCCTCCACCCAGGTGGACCATACAAGGGTCACGTAGGCTTGGCGGTGAACAGCTGCAGTTCCACGTGCTGTGCTGATGGGCCAAGGGGTTCCCACGGTGAGGGGTAGCCACGGGAAAAACGGCGCAGCTCTCAAGTGTGGCTGTTCTGCTTCCAAAAGGCTTTCCCTGCTGAAGCTGTGATCCAAGACTGAGATCACCTTCGGAATTTTACTACATTACAGTTAGACCCGGTTGTAGTTTTCCCTTCAGCCGAGACAACTCCTCCTGCCTTGGTTTTGTGGCGCAGCTGCTGAAGGTGCCACAGATGGCCAAAAAGGAAGTGACATGTGAGGGGACGGCACTGGTGGAGTCTTGCGGTGCAAGGTACTGCAGATGCCCTGGGTACTCAGAAAAACCACAGTGCGGCCACGTACTTCAAGTTCACAGGGTGACCCCAGTGTCTGAAGCAGAATGTAGTGAGTGAAAAATGCAGGAAAATGTGTATACAAAACCCAAATCTGCTCTTACTAACAACTTAGCCTCGTGTGTGTGTGTGTGTGTGTGTGTGTGTGTGTGTGTGCAGTTGCTGGATTTCTTTTTTAAAAAATCTTTCAAAGAGAATGAACACCATCCGTCTGGCCCCATTTTCCCCTGTGAGGGGAATTCACCATGCTGTTATAGGCGTCTTTCAGCTCTGAGATGCTGCATCTCACTTGCAGGGAGAAAGTACACTTGAGCTCTGGAGGCAGAGAGCCTGGACTCAAATCTGCCTCTGCCACTGACATGATTCATTCTCTGGAAGCCTCTGTTTGTTATCTATAAAATGAGGAGTGAGCAAACCAATCTCTGTAATGCACACAATTGGCCCTGAATATCTACCTAAGCTTAGCTCTTGTTACCTTGCAGAAGAGCTAGAGAATTTCTGACTTTGGTAGATCCAGACTACCAGGGGCCCTTTCTAAGCATTTTCCTTGGAGAAGGGCTAACAGGAGGCTGGGGCTAATTTTTTTACCTGGACTTTGGAAATTTCTGCACATAACTGGGCCTGCATTTATGTCCTGAATACCTACAGCAGACCTGCACTAATCCCAGGAGGGCTGCCTACCCGAATGAAGGGACACTAATTTTTTTTGTAGTTCTGGGGCTCAAACTCAGGGCTTATACGTGCTAGGCAGGTGCTCACCACTGAGCTACAGACCCAGCTCAAAATGACACTTTTTACTGCAGACAACCCTCATCAAGTAGGGGAGAGAGACGACTACAATGACAAGAGCAAAATAATTGCAGCATGAAGGTCACACCGTGGGAAGATATGAATCCTGCCCCTTTGGGGAGTGTGATTGCTTGATTCTAGCTTGAGTAAAACAGCTGGCAGGGGTCGGAAGACCCAGAAGCAGAGAAAGTAGATGGAGAAGGGGGTGCTTCACTGCCTTTCAGTTTGTAAGACAGTCGTAGCTGAGGAGAAGCGGGCAGCCAGAGGCAGCTGAGCCACACAAGTGGGCCCCTGGCTTGGCCCAAGGACAGTGCCACATCCCAAGGCTGAGCAGAGATCCTCAGCCAGCAGGCCCCTGTGCCTAGAGAACCATTGCAGGAATCCCCAAATTCCACTGGGAACGTTCGCGACTGTGCAGAGTGAACCCCGTCCTCACCTTGTTGCTTTAGAAAACACACAAAGACAGTTGGCTCCTGCCCGAGTCCTGCTAGGGCTGTCTGACAAACCCAACAGATGAAAAGAATAGAATCGTATAGAGTAGTTACTTTAAAAGAGTGAGATCTGCAAAGTTTACTCCGTCCAAGGAGCAACGCCCCTGTGCCTCTTTCTCCATCTGGTGAGTGGTTTCTTGTTGCTGATGATTGATAGCATGACTCCCTGTCACTGCTCCTTAAAGCCAGTGACAACAGCAATGTCCAGTATCACAGGACCCAAATGTAACTTAAAATCTGACCGTAGCAGCCTGCAAGTTGAGCTGGAGTCTGGGAATGACAACCAGCAAATGGTATCTACTAATATTCGTCTGAATGGCTTTGGGCCTGGTGGGGAGCCAGACCAGCTACACAGTGTGACTTTCCTGAGGGCCACAAGGAGATGCATGGTGATGCATCGGTGATACCGACAGCTCTCCAGTTTCTTATCACTGCCTGCCAACAGCCAGCAACTCAGAACTATCACTGCAGAATTCATGTAACATTCTTCAGAACCGGGCCCAAGCCAACCACTGAATCTCAGGAGACCTGCTCGCACCCGGGGAGGGCTGTGAATGGAAATCATGACTGTCATTTTAGAAGAACAGTTTCTGTTTACTGACAGCCTTCCTTGTTTAAAAAAAAAAAACAAAACAAAACAAACAACAACAACAAAATAAAACAGCTCACCTCTCTGCCCGTATCGGTAAAGCATTTGGTTTTGCTTATCTCAGGGAAACTGCCTGTGTGATTGGGCCCAGTGTGGTGAGTGAAGCGGTGCTGAAGGACACTTGGGTCCTTGTCTGCCTGCCAGATCAGGGGTGTGGCTAACCATCACCAAGCTGTGTCGCCATGCCTGGGTCACGTGTTTATGGCAAAGAGAACCCCTGTACTTGTTTTTCAGTACTGGAGATTGAACCCAGGGGCCTTCTGCTTGAACTAAATCCCCAAGCCATTGTATTTTTATTTTTTGTTTTGAGACAGGGTCTCACTAAGTTGCTGAGTTACCTTGGCTGTGCTCAAATTTGTAATCCTGCCAGAGTGCTGGCCTTACAGGTGTGCACCACCACACTCGGCTCCTAGATGGTTCTGGGATCCTCAGAGCGGGGCCCAGCCCGAGGTACTTTGCTGAGGCTGGTCCAGGTGTGGGTGCAGCACGTGCAGCACTGTGTCCTCCACAGAGAGAACCGAGACCTGAGGGAGAGTCTGCCCCGAGGAAGTTACAGTCTGGTCATGGAGATATAACAGATACCGCGGCAGAACCACAGCGGGCAGTGCAGAAGACAGCCTGGTGCTGTTTTGTTTGTTTTATGAATGTTTTGAATTGACCCTTTCAATAGAATATGAGAGGCTCAACAGTTTA